ATTCTGGAGTTGGACTTTAAAATTGCTGTGATTTTATTCTAAACAATCATAATGGTAAATATAAGGGGTTAGGGACTGATGTAAATGTATAAAATATATATGTAAAGCGCTGCGTAAATTGACGGTGCTATACAATATAAATACCTGTAATAAATAAATAAAATAATAAATAGGTGTCCCCATTGGTTCCCTCTTACTCCCTGTACTCAGGGGTGTATTTAGGTTTCGTGCTGCCCTAGACAACACAAAAATAGTTCCCCCCCTCCCCTTGGAGTTCCCCCCTGACACTGACCAACACCCCCCTCCCCCACAAAGAGAGCCTGACATTTACCAACAACACCCTAGCCCCCCCACCCGAGAGAGCCTTCCACTACCACCGCCCCCCATACAGTGGCAATCTCCCCCCACCCCGGTAAGAGAGAAGACACTTCCCTTCACAGCTCTAGATATCCCCGGGAACAAGAGTCCGGCTCTGCATACACCATCAAGCAGCCTGCAGCCTCTCTCAGATCCCACCTGGTCCCCGTGCTGTGTGTATCCCTTCTTCCATCCCTTCTTTCGGGGGACAGTGCTGCCCCACTGAAAAATGCTGCTGCTCCCCTGAAAAATGCCACCCTAGGCAAATGCCTTGTTTGCCTTGTGGTAAATACATCCCTGTCTGTACTCGAGACAGCACAGAAGACCTGGAACAGGTTAGTGCTCTTTACCATATTTTTATCTATGTCATTCAGTCCCGGTGACAACTACTCTGTTTCTTGTGCTAGTGTCATAGGGACAGGTAGTGAGAGTAAACCTCAACAAAGGGGTCACAGACAGAAATAAAAAAAGCCATAAAATGCCCCACTCTATCCAAATCAAAAACAAATGGTCTGGAAATAGGTCGTAAAGATATCAGATTGATCTAATAAAAAGGAAAAATGATCTCTAATGTAAAGTACTTTTGTTTTTCTTTGCATTATTAAATCGCTGGAGTTAAACTTCAAATCACAAGGTAGATTTATGATACTTTGCTTGTGTTTATATGGTGTCTGGATAACCTAAATGAAAGTATCTTCTATTGTGCTTTTCATGCACTTTTTCTAACATAAATGAAATATTAGAAGAGATCAAATGATATTTGCTTTGATTTTGGTTAACTTTCCCGTTCTACATGGTCTCATTGCTTCATCAGCACAACTGTGGCCAAAAAGAACATGTAACCAACTTGATAAAATAATTCAGAGCTCAAACCAGTGAAAAGGCAAAACTCTAAATGAAAAGAACCTATAATTGTTTCTGGTCAATTTTAATTCAAAATGTTTTGCTGTGTTTACAAGTTTATAAACTGATCTTTTATATCATCTTTTTGTTACTGGCATAAAATCCTTTTTTTTACAGATACAGTCAAGGCAGATAGGCTGTTCACTAGACAAGGGCATATACTGTACTCTTAACTTACCAGATGTGGTGACGTTTCATTGTGCAATGAATACCCAATTGAGTGCAAGGAAAATTAAAAAAAAAAGTATTTCTGCTGACATATGATTGGATGATGGGAGTCAGCAGAGCTTCCCCTCATTCACTAAATTCCCTTGCAAAAGTGAAGAGCCTATTTGGTTTTAGTAAATTAACCCCATTTGTTGAGTATACTGGATAGTTAATCGGTTTCTGTCATTGTCTAGCTGAAACTTCATAACCAAGTTAATAGGGAAAGAGAGGAGGTGTTTTCCACCTCTGGCTTATTCAGTAATCTGTGTGATTTCAGAATAGTATATGATCAAACTACAGCTCATTCACAGCACAGAAGTAAAGCGACACAGTATACAATGAATCAAGAGCTTTGCCTTCACAAGTAGTGAATATGCCATATTCATATGTAATATTTCATATAAAGTATAACCAAAGGCCTTTTTTAAGTTTTGAATAGAGTGGAGAAGATTTAGTATGCCTGACGTGTTTATTGCTATCTGTGCCCCCTTTAGGGAGTTTCACCCTATTTGTCATGTTTACAGTTATCATTGAAAGGACAAGAAAATCACAAATTTTGGGTTAACTCAAGAACAGTAATAGAGGGGAAACCTTCCATTGATGACACTAGTTCTGGTGACCCTGGTGACAAACTGGGATTCCCTCACTTTGGAGAGATTTCCTCTCACTTCCTGTTTTAGCTAAAGGACAAAAAGTGAAAGGAAATCTCCTCAATTGGACACAGATGGCTAAAAATAACCTGAAGGGGAATATAACCCTCTTGTACTCTACCCAAAATGAAAAAAAAATTGCCTTTAGTTTTACTTTAACCAAATTGAGAACATATCCAAACTTTTCAGCCCACATGGACAATCGGGGGGTTACCACAGCCTGTTTCCATTCTCAGTCAAAGCTTAGCTTTTTTTCTGTGATTAACTTGTAAAAAAAAATACTGTATACACTGAGGTCTCCACCCAAAACCTAACTTCCTTGATGCATTTTGCCACAGCTGCTTGCTCACAGAAACACACACAAAAAAGAGCTAAGCTTTGGAATGCATCTTATATATTTTTTTTTACTTTTGATCAAATTGAGAGAATTAAAACTCAAGTACCCCCTATACCTCTGGAGGCCGCCTGTCTTTATACAATTTATTTTATATTTAACTCTTCCAGATGTCATCAGGGCAGTCATGTGACATGCAGGTTCTTTTCTCCGGTTGGGAGGTCCTCAATAATACAGAGAGTTATTGTGATGGCACTACTCTCTACATCCATACACTGGGCAGGGGTGTATTTACCACAAGGCAAACAAGGCATTTGCCTAGGGCGGCATTTTTCAGGGAGGCAGCACCGCTCCCCAGAAGAAGGGAAAGAAGAAGGGACACATGCGGCATGGGGACCAGGTGGGATCCGAGAGAGGTTGCGAGCTACTTGACGGTGGACGGTGTATGCAGAGCCCGACTCTCATTCCAGGGGATGTCTGGAGCTGTGAAGGTGAGCATCTTTCCCTCTCTCGCGCGGGGGTGGTAGTGGAAGGCTTTCTCAGGTGCGGTGGGGTTGGTTGATGTCAGGCTCTCTCTGTGGTGGGGATGGCTGATTTTTTTCAGCACAAAGCCTAAATACACCACTGACACTGGTGTGTATAGGTCATAGGATGCCATGATGATGGCCCTGTACTGCATGTCATTCAACCAAGAGGGCATCTAGTGGTGGAAAGGTATTACTGTGGGGGACAGTGAAGAAGAGAAGGTAAGCATTAGACTAATAGAATAATACTCTGTTTAAGAGAAATTCCCTTGAGTTGGTCTTTAAATATAGTAAGGACCTCGGCTAAGCAGGGTCTCGTGCTTGCAGTTTCTCAGGACACTTTTAATGCTTTCTAAAACGGCCAGGAATACAGCACCAAGGACAATAGCAACCCAAGTCATTTTTTGCAAGGTGGTGTAGGCATCTACAGGAACCAAAATCATGGCACACAGCAGGCAGGAACAGAGCTCTATATGATGCTTACCTTACCTGTTTGCCACAAGCAGATTGTTTCTAGTGTGCTGCATTGTAGTGCGTTCCACCACTGTATACACAGTTTAAATATGACATTGTAACATTAACCGCAATAGCAGATAGTCAAATACAGAGGAAGAGCATACAATAACCAGAACTATTATATTGAATCTACTGTACAGCACAAAGCCAGCCAATTCATCTAAGGAAATGAAAGCAGGCTATAAAGTGCTTTGTATGCAGTTCTTTCTAATTCATATACTTCTCAAAGGACATGTGAAGGGCCTAGCTGCGTTCATCTTGAAGAGGATGGGGGTTACCAGCCCTGTCACTTCATTAATTTACACAGTTTAGACAACAATGTGTGAGGGCTCTCAGAGGCCATTCACACCACAGCAACAACGGGCTGTGCTGTAAATGACAAGCCCCCTACAAAGAAGGTCTGTGGCCTTTGTTGAAACAAGCTGCACACAAGTCCAGAGGGACACAAACCTTCTGTGCTTTACAGTTTACTCCCTGACACACTCTAAATACTATTGCAAAACTCTTTGGAAAATATTTACCCTCTCATTGGGAAGTCTGGCAGCAGACACACACACATTGCACATCTTGATTTTAAAGAGGTGACAGATGCTTATCAATGGATCGTAAAATATTGTTTTGTGGTGTACAGTACTATTTCATTTCCAAGAGTCTTCAATTGCTACTTTTAAGACTTAAAGAAAACTTGTTATTAGAGAAACTCAGGGGCTGCCATTTCTGACCTAATTCTGAAAATGTTAGTTGCTTGGCTGTTATACTAATCCAATGGTTTCAATAGATTTCTGAGATATGAAGCCATAAGGAGTCATCACTGGTTTCCAACACTAAAGATGCTGGCGCCGGGGACCTGAAGACTGGCAAGGAACAGGCCCAGGAGAGGGCAGGGCTGGATCCTTGCACAGGTAATTGTCCTTTTATTAAAAGTCAGCAGCTACAGGATTTGTATTTGCTGTCTTTAATTATTTTTTTTCACGAGAGTAAATGGCCATGCACAAGCCATTGGCATTTAGATGAGTAAGTCTGTGCACAGCTATTCACTTGAATGGGCAGCTGTACATGGCAGTTGCAGCTCTTCAAGCACGGGTAAGCGCTACAAAATTTACACTGCAGGACTTTGCAGCTTCTAGATGTCAGTGCATGAGGCCTTAGCACTTAGGGCTAAGAATTCTTTATTGAACACCTTATAAAAAAAAAAACATAAGCAAATTTCCATACAAAGAACGATCAGTCAGTTCGTTAGTATAGTGCTTTCAACAGCTAATTCTGACTATCCAGACAAAAAAAAATGAAAGTGTAAATTAGAAATTTTTTATTGTATGTCAACAAAACATCTGATTTTTGTTTGATGTGTACAGTAATTGTATGGATATAATCAAATAGGAAACAAATGCGCATGATCAAGAGCAAATAACAACCCTATACTTCCTCTTCTACTATGCCAGTGCATAGCTACATTTGCCTTTGTTGGTCGAGAATTTTCGTACCAGTTAATATCAGGGGCGGACTGACCATTTGGAAACTCGGGGTCAGTAGAGGGCTCCATGAGATGCCCCTGGTACCTTTTTCATAGGCTTTTTTGTTTGGGATAGGACACAGGGGCCCCATGATCCCCTATTGCCCGGGGGCCCCATGAGCTGTCAGTCCGCCCCTGGTTAATATCATTTTCGGTTAGATCATGATATACACCTTCATGGAAAATCAGACGATCATTCTTCCAATTTTCTCAAAGTGTGTATTAGGCATTAGGTTTCTTCTTTGAATGTCAGGGGGTGTAAGATCTTTTGGCTATAGCATTATTCCTGATTTCTAAACACTGCTTAATGTCTGTTTTTATATGCTGGATATTCATATCCTTGACTCCATGTTTTGGGAATCTTTTTAAATCACCCAATTAAATTTGTTGAGTTATAACTGCTTTATTGCCTTTTTGATTTAGGTATACACTTTATTTAAAGCCTTTTACAGTCCACAAGAAAGGATATTCTGTTGCATCTTTGCAAATTCCTAATAAAAAGGTAACATAAACCTAAACAGTGCTTTTTTCTTTTAAACACAGAATAATAAAAATTCACTTTATTGTTTTCACGGTTGTAAAAGAATTTCTGGCAGATAACAGAAGGATCTGTAGAATATCTTAAGCCGGCCATAGATGGATCAAAATTCAAGAACCAGCCAAATTTCAACCCATCTATGGGCAGGCTGGTTGTACTGAATACAGTCTATCGAAAGACTTCAGTACAACCAGCCTGTCAGGTTTTTTTTTTTATGATTAATGCCGGTGGATATAGCCAGCAGCAGTGATCATTGTATTCTGAAAGCAGGGAAACCTCCTTATGTCAGAATACAATAGTGCAGTGGGGGGGATTCCCACATCAACACTGACTGTGTTGATGGGGGCATCAAGAGATTTTATTTCCTTCGACCCATGAGTAAAGGAAAGAAAATTGCATAATGTATGGCTACCCTTACAGTATATGCATACAAAAGATAATGGTATCCATTGTGTTTCTTCTAATCTAAAGTAGAGTGGCTAAATTTGGACAGATACCACCCGATAAACAACAGGCAGAGGAATATTGGTCAATCCTGGAAAACGTCTCATCTGACCCAGTTGCAGGATATTTTCTCACAACCACTGGAAGCACTCATTATTGCCACACAAGGGTTCACTATTGTCCTGATAGTCACAAGTGCTGTTTAAAAATAGACACGTTGTTTGTAACTATCAAGCCACTTTATGAGTAGATTATGTTTATGAACATGCAGACTCCATGTAGCTATTGAAAGCCACTTCATCTCATTCCTCTCACTGGTGTTTAATGGTGATGTTCTCCTTAGGTAGGGTGCAATCGCTATGGATATGTCTCCATAAACTGAATATTGCATTGCAGACAAGTTCCGCACAGAGCTGGATTCAAAGTCTGCTTATTGAGCATAGTTCATGAGAAATAGGGATCCCACATTCTTAATGAATGTTTTACAATCTTATTCTGTATCCCGTTTTCCACTTGTCATGGTCTTGTTCTCTGGATGATGGTGTTTAGCTGCCACAAGTCTTTATCTTCTGCTGCCTTGGCTTTTTGTATATCAAATTCTTAATCTGGCCAGTGAATATTGGCCAAGTCCTAATGAACCAAGTAAAATTAATCAGTGGGTAGCCCCGTAGGCACCATTCTGCCCAACATCCTTTCGTTGAAAAATCAAACAAAGTAGGGTTGAAAATTGTGAGCCAAACAGTGCCTGCATCCTATTAACTACCGGATTTCAGAATACAATATCCACGGTGGGAGATTTTGTCTATCTGCGCTGTTTAGCATGGATGGAAGAATCTCCAAGCATGTAAACATAGAGGTATCAACAAAATCTTCAGTTTCAAATGTGCTCTGTATTTCCAAAATTGACTTTCTGTCAAATGTAATCAGCTAAGCCTACATCTCCATCTTTTGTTTTTTGGGTTTTTTTTTAGTCAAATACATTTGTATGTAACATTTTCAAAATATAGGTTACAACTGTTTGGTATTCGATATCAAGTGACATAGTGAAAATACCTAGACAGTCCAGATAATGGTCATAGAGAAGATTTTCCAGTTAAAATGGAAAGCCAAATGCAAAGATAATCTGTATAGCTAAAGTAGTTATAGTGAGGCCTCAAGAACTCCCAGAGAGGCCTTGGAGAATGAAATATCAACAACGTATACGCAAATGCAACCATATCAATAACAGTGGAAAATAAAGTAAAAAGGGTCGGGGAGGGAGGGGAACTATGCCACCTAGAAGGACCCAAACTCAGCAAGTCCAGATGTTAAAAATTCTAAAGTGTATTCCACAAAATGTAAAGAAGTTAAGATAGTGAAAGGAAATTTCGAAAAACTAAAGAAAATTAGAAAAGGCACCTAAAGACATGTAATTAATAAGCTTTTGGCTTAAAGATTCATTAATTATTGGATGATTGTGGAATGACTGGATGATTGTAGAATCACTATATGCATGCCAGCAAGTCCAAGTAGCGTGAACTTCACATCTCCATCTTTAACCACTCCCTGATCCACTGACATATTCAGAATGTAGTGTAACATGACTAGCACAGGAAGGGCAGGGGCATCTTTGATGTTCAACCTCATCCCTGCTATGCTGTCCAAGAGGCAAGATGGTGGCGTCAAGTTGGAGAATAATTATGTCTCTTGAGCCAGACTTCAGCAGTTTTTGTTCATTAATTACCGGTATGCACTGATAAGTTGCTTGTATGCTAAATAGTTCCTATTTGGCAGTGGTTTCTGTAAACATTGGCAATGGAATAGACTTCTATAAGTTGTTATGATCTTTCATAACAAATGTGCTGTACAGTCATGATATTGAATTAAATCCACATTGTACACTTCAGTATAAAAATCAGTAGATTTTGTCTCTTTGTATTCCAGTTACTTCATGTAATATGTCTTCTTGTTTTCAATTAATTTTATTTACAGTAATTCGAATTACAATGAAAAAAGCTGTCTGCTCATACCAAGTGGTTATCTTACCTAGATTTTAACACAACTTAGTAAACTTGCATTCACATTGGATGACTCTGTAAGCTGAAACAGTATTTATGTTTGGACAGACATGAATTTTCATATTATATTAGTTAGCATATTTTTCAACCTTGTTCTTTGATCTGAGAATACAAATGATGCAAATTATGAGTCAAAACCTTTAAACCTGGCCGGAAGACCTTTCCACGCAATGAGGGTGGTCCAGGTTTATCAATTGAGGACAATGGCACTCATTAGACAACCCTTCTTAAATGTTGGAGTACAAATATAGAATGAAGAGCACAATCATTTGATGTCTATAGGTCTATTCCACTAATGTAGGTAAAAAGCACAGGTCTGCTCAAAAGGTATAAAATGTATGACTTTGATAACTTTCCCCTTTGGAGGCATGTCCTCGATCCTTCCAAAACTTTGGTATAAATAGCCAGTTACAGACAAATGTGAAAATGTAAAACTGTGAAACCTGATATTGAGACAGTCCTGTTTATTGTTCTGTAATTCCTAATTGTGGGTCAAGAAGTATGGAAAGATGTCGGTGGGCCTAAAAAGTGATACTAAGCAGAACTTTGAAGTAATGATTTTGATTTTACAGATGTGCACCTCTGTGACAGCCCAAAACATCTGCAAGATATCATGCAATAAGTCCACGCCGTAACAGACCATGTACGTGTAGCACACTGAGAGGGTACACTGAGGTATGTATATTTTCATGAAGTAAGCAGGATTGTTTATTTAAAAAAATGGTGCTAAAATTAGTTTTTATAATTTTATTTTTGGCTATAATGATAATTGTAAAAAAGTTGTTCTAGAAATCTAAAGCTTAGAAAAAGATAAAATAATTTGGCAACATTATATTATTTAATATTAAAATAAAAGAATGTATATTTTCTGTTCAGTTAAAATTCCCTGCTACCAGGGCAATGGGGTACATCCCAGATATCTCATTCCTCTAATCACTTGATTGGTCCTGTGCTTTTCCCAATTATATGAACAAATATTGAGGTAAAATGTTCCCTAGCACTGCTTTAAGTTTTACTGCACTGTGGTGGAAGAGGCATACTGGCCAAACATCTGTAGGGATGCCAGAGAAGCAACATCTTTCCTTTAAAGCAAGGAAGCAAGAACTGAAGTGCTTGCAGTAAGTTTACTTCCATCCAATGCAACCAGTGTTGATTGGGGAATGCCTCCCGTGGAGCCATTGTGTACTCCAGCTGGGGGGGGGGGGGGGGGGGGTTGTACCCAAGTTATACAACAATTTGGTACAATAAACCTGTCAACAGATGGGTCGAATCTCGGCTGGCCCCTGCTGAACCGGGCAAGATTTGAACCACCTGGCCGGCTTAAGTAACTGCAGAACAAAATCAGGTAGAAATCTGAGTGCTTCCATTTTATCTAATATAAATAGTTAACCTGAAGAATATTCTGTTGCTTTTTTTTTTTGTTTTGTTTTTTTTTTTTGCTTTTTTTAATGAAAAGAAAAAAAAGGAAAATGGACATTACCTAAAGGGATTGCACTATGGTTAAAACATTTTTTAGATTCCCTGTGCTCCCCCTTCCCTGTGTGAAGGGGAAGAAAGGGGAGAAGAGATCAGCACTGTGCACGGCAGCATCTCCTCTCCTCTCGCTTCCTCTTCACACAGGGACTTGAACAGCAGCAGGAGCTATTGGCTCTTGCTGCTCTCAATTAAGTGCAGAGAAGAGGAAGTGGGCTATTTCATAGTGTGGGCTATCCAGAGGGAGGTTCTGCCAATCACAGCCTGTTACACCCCCAGCCCCTGTCTATGATTGTAAGTGCTTAGACTTACAGGGAGGTGAAGCCTACATCAATCAACATGCACTATCCCACCCCTATATTGTTTACCTTATTAGTAGGCATGGAGGAGGAGGGAGGAAGTGGGCTGTCATTTATCTGGAATGTATATGCCCACATGTGTAACTCAATAGTCAAATGGACTACACAGATAAGAAAAAGGTGGAAAGGAACAGCTTAGAAGGGAACTAAAACTGCAGCATGATCAGTAGATGTAAAAACATCTGGTCTTCAGAATCTCAGGCTGTAGTGGGGACTCAAACAAGGAGGGAGGGACAGGGAAAAGCAG